TATGTATATATGAAATGTATGTATGTATGTAAGGTATAAATGTATGTAATGTATGTATGAACCTATGATATGTATATATATGTAAGGTTGTATGTATGTAATGTATGTATATATGTAATTATGTAATATGTATGAATGTTATGTATGTTTGTAAAAAATGTATGTTATGTATGTGTGGTGTACTGTAATGTGATGTGGTTTGATGTTATGTCCTGTGTTGTGGTATAGCGTGTCGTAATGTTGTGTGTTGAATAAGTATATGTAATGTATGTAATGTATGTATGTATGTAATGTCTGTATGTAATGTATGTAATGTATGTATGTATGTATGTATGTAATATGTATGTAATGTATGTATGTTCTTAAGAGAAAAATGTTATGTATATATGTAATAATGGATGTGATGTATGTATGTAATAATGGATGTTATGAATGTATGTATTGTAGAGAAGGGAGCGGGAGGGAACGGTGGATGATGGATACCTGCATGTGATGTGGTGTGATGCGGTGTCTGGTGTTGTGGTAAAGCGTGTCGTAGTGTTGTGTGGTAAATATGTATGTATTTAATGTATGTATGTATTTAATGTATGTATGTATTTAATGTATGTATGTCTGTATGAAATGTATGTATGCATGAAATGTATGTATGTATGTAAGGTATGTTTCTATGTAATGTATGTATGCATGTATGTTTGTATGTAATGTATGAATGTATATAATGTATGTATGTATGTACTGTATGTATGTATGCATGTAATGTATGCATGAATGTTTGTGAAAAATGTATGTTATGTATGAGTGGTGTAGTGTGATGTGGTGTCTTGTGTTGTGGTGTAGCGTGTCGTAATGTTGTGTGGTAAATATGTATGTATGTAATGTATGTATGTATCTAATGTATGTATGTAATGTAAGATCTATGTAAGAAATTTATGTATGTATGTAAGGTATGTATGTATGTAATGTATGTATGAATGTTTAAAATGTATGTATATGAAAGGTATGTATGTATGTAATGTATGTTTGTATGTATGTAATTAATGTATGAATGTAATGCATGTTTGTAAAAAATGTATGTTATATATGTGTGGTGTAGTGTGATGTGATGTCTTGTGTTGTGGTATAGCTTGTCGTAATGTTGTGTGGTAAATATGTATGTAATGTATGTATGTATATATGTATGTAATGTATGTATGTATGTAATGTACAATGTATGTATGTTCATAAGAGATACATGTTATGTATATATGTAATAATGGATGTGATGCATGTTTGTAATAATGGATGTTATGAATGTATGTATTGTAGGGAAGGCAGCGAGAGGGAATGATGGATGAGAGAGGGGAAGAAGGACCCCATGTCAGTTCTTCTGTCTAATTGTCTGTCAAACTGTCTGTCTCTTTGTATGTATGTATGTAGAGAGATAGAGAAAGAAAATAAGTACATCAGAAATGAAACAAAGAAATGTTCATGGATACTAAGTCTAAATAGCGGTGTGTGCATAAAAATGGCATATCTAGACAAGGCATCCATAAGATATAGAAGAGAAAAGTAAGAAAAACAAGAGAGAAATCTCAAAACAAAGGAGAAATAGATGATAGAGAGGAGGGAGATAGATGAGAGAAAAGAGGAACAAGATAAAAATAAAGCAAGAAATAATGTATGTAAGAGAAGCATGCAATGTATGTATACAATGTCTGTATGTAATGTATGTATGTAATGAATGTAAGGAATGTATGTATCTCATGAATGTTATGTATGTTTGTAAAAAATGTATGTAATGTATGTGTGGTTTAGTGTGATGTGGTGTGATCTGGTGTCTTGTGCTTTGGTATAGCGTGTCGTACTGTTGTTTGGTATGTATATATGCATGTAATGAATCTATGTATGTATGTAATGTATGTATGTAATGTATGTATGTATGAAGAGTACATATGTATGAAATGTATGTATGCATGTAAGGTATGCTTCTGTGTAATGTATGTATATATGTATGTATGTTTGTAATGTATGTATGTAATGTATGATGTATGTATGAAATGTATGTATATATGAAATGTATGTATGTATGTAAGGTATAAATGTATGTAATGTATGTATGAACCTATGATATGTATATATATGTAAGGTTGTATGTATGTAATGTATGTATGTATGTAATTATGTAATATGTATGAATGTTATGTATGTTTGTAAAAAATGTATGTTATGTATGTGTGGTGTACTGTAATGTGATGTGGTTTGATGTTATGTCCTGTGTTGTGGTATAGCGTGTCGTAATGTTGTGTGTTGAATAAGTATATGTAATGTATGTAATGTATGTATGTATGTATGTAATGTATGTATGTAATGTGTGAATGTATGTATGTATGTAAGTATGTAATGTTTGTATGTTCATAAGAGAAAATTGTTATGTATATATGTAATAATGGATGTGATGTATGTATGTAATAATGGATGTTATGAATGTATGTATTGTAGAGAAGGGAGCGGGAGGGAACGGTGGATGATGGATACCTGCATGTGATGTGGTGTGATGCGGTGTCTGGTGTTGTGGTAAAGCGTGTCGTAGTGTTGTGTGGTAAATATGTATGTATTTAATGTATGTATGTATGTATGTATGTATTTAATGTATGTATGTCTGTATGAAATGTATGTATGCATGAAATGTATGTATGTATGTAAGGTATGTTTCTATGTAATGTATGTATGCATGTATGTTTGTATGTAATGTATGAATGTATATAATGTATGTATGTATGTATTGTATGTATGTATGCATGTAATGTATGCATGAATGTTTGTGAAAAATGTATGTTATGTATGAGTGGTGTAGTGTGATGTGGTGTCTTGTGTTGTGGTGTAGCGTGTCGTAATGTTGTGTGGTAAATATGTATGTATGTAATGTATGTATGTATCTAATGTATGTATGTAATGTAAGATCTATGTAAGAAATTTATGTATGTATGTAAGGTATGTATGTATGTAATGTATGTAATGTATGTATGAATGTTTAAAATGTATGTATATGAAAGGTATGTATGCATGTAATGAATGTTTGTATGTATGTAATAAATGTATGAATGTAATGCATGTTTGTAAAAAATGTATGTTATATATGTGTGGTGTAGTGTGATGTGATGTCTTGTGTTGTGGTATAGCTTGTTGTAATGTTGTGTGGTAAATATGTATGTAATGTATGTATGTATATATGTATGTAATGTATGTATGTATGTAATGTATGTATGTTCATAAGAGATACATGTTATATATATATGTAATAATGGATGTGATGCATGTTTGTAATAATGGATGTTATGAATGTATGTATTGTAGGGAAGGCAGCGAGAGGGAATGATGGATGAGAGAGGGGAAGAAGGACCCCATGTCAGTTCTTCTGTCTAATTGTCTGTCAAACTGTCTGTCTCTTTGTATGTATGTATGTAGAGAGATAGAGAAAGAAAATAAGTACATCAGAAATGAAACAAAGAAATGTTCATGGATACTAAGTCTAAATAGCGGTGTGTGCATAAAAATGGCATATCTAGACAAGGCATCCATAAGATATAGAAGAGAAAAGTAAGAAAAACAAGAGAGAAATCTCAAAACAAAGGAAAAATAGATGATAGAGAGGAGGGAGATAGATGAGAGAAAAGAGGAACAAGATAAAAATAAAGCAAGAAATAATGTATGTAAGAGAAGCATGCAATGTATGTATACAATGTCTGTATGTAATGTATGTATGTAATGAATGTAAGGAATGTATGTATCTCATGAATGTTATGTATGTTTGTAAAAAATGTATGTAATGTATGTGTGGTTTAGTGTGATGTGGTGTGATCTGGTGTCTTGTGCTTTGGTATAGCGTGTCGTACTGTTGTGTGGTATGTATATATGCATGTAATGAATCTATGTAATGTATGTATGTATGAAAAGTACATATGTATGAAATGTATGTATGCATGTAATGTATGTATATATGTATGTATGTATGAAATGTATGAAATGTATGTATGTAATGTATGATGTATGTATGAAATGTATGTATATATGAAATGTATGTATGTATGTAAGGTATAAATGTATGTAATGTATGTATGAACCTATGATATGTATATATATGTAAGGTTGTATGTATGTAATGTATGTATGTATGTAATTATGTAATATGTATGTAATGTATGTATGTTCGTAAAAAATGTATGTTATGTATGTGTGGTGTAATGTAATGTGATGTGGTTGTGATGTGTGTGTGTGTCCTGTGTTGTGGTATAGCTGTCTAATGTTGTGTGTTGAATGTTGTGGTTTGTATGTTATGTAATGTAGCGTGTAATGTTGTGTGTATGTAAATATGTATGTATGTAATGTGTGAATGTATGTATGTATGTATGTATAATGTAAAGTATGTATGTTCATCAGAGATGCATGTTATGTATGTATGTAATAATGGATGTTATGTATGTATGTAATAATGGATGTTATGAATGCATGCATTGTACGGAGGGGAGCTCCACAGGCACCACATCAGGGACAGCAAGCTCCTCATCTGGCTGCACAGGCTCCTCATCTGAGGGATAGCTTGTTGTAATGTTGTATAGTAAATATGTACCTCATAAGAGATACATGTTATGTATATATGTAATAATGGATGTGATGCATGTTTGTAATAATGGATCTTATGAATGAAAATGTATGTATTGTAGGGAAGGCAGGGAGAGGGAATGATGGATGAGAGAGGGGAAGAAGGACCCCATGTCAGTTCTTCTGTCTACTGTGGCCAACGGTGGATGATGGATACATGCATGTGATGTGGTGTGATGCTCCTGGTGTTGTGGTAAAGCATCGGGCTCAACAAGTACCACACCAGTGTGGTAAATATGTATGTATGTAATGTATGTATGTATCCACATTTAATGGTGTCCACACCAGGGATGGTGGGCTCCTCATCTGGCTTCACAGGCACCACACCAGGGAAGGCTGGCTCCTCATCTGGCTTCACAGGCTCACACAGGCACCACACCAGGGACGGCAAGCTCCTCATCTGGACTCCACAGGCTCCACACCAGGGATGATGGGCTCCACATCTGGCTCCCACATCTGAGGGACAGGCTCCACAGGCTCCACACCAGGGATGGCTGGCTCCTCATCTGGCTCCACAGGCACCACATTAGGGATGGCATGGGCTCCTCATCTGGCTCCACAGGCTCCACATCAGGGACGGCGGGCTCCTCATCTGGCTCCACAGAAGGCTCCACACCAGGGACGGCTGGCTCCTCATCTGACTCCACAAGCTCCACATCAGGGATGGTGGGCTCCTCATCTGGCTCCACAGGCACCACACAAGGGAAGGCGGGCTCCACAGGCACCACACCAGGGAAGGCTGGCTCCTCATCTGGCTTCACAGGCTCCACATCAGGGACGGTAGGCTCCACACCAGGGACGGTAGGCTCCACATCAGGGATGATTGGCTCCTCATCTGACTCCACAGGCACCACACCAGGGATGATGGGCTCCACATCTGACTCCACAGGCTCCACATCAGGAATGACAGGCTCCTCATCTGGCTCCATACCAGGGATGGCAGGCTCCTCATCTGGCTCCACAGGCTCCACATTAGGGATGGCAGGCTCCTCATCTGGCTCCACAGGCTCCACATCAGGGATGGCAGGCTCCTCATCTGGCTCCACAGGCACCACATCAGGGATGACGGGCTCCTCATCTGACTCCACAGGCACCACACCAGGGACGGCTGGCTCATCATCTGACTCCACAGGCACCACACCAGGGATGGCAGGCTCCTCATCTGGCTCCACAGGCTCCACATCAGGGATGACGGGCTCCTCATCTGACTCCACAGGCTCCACATCAGGGATGACAGGCTCCACATCTGACTCCACAGGCTCCACATCAGGGATGGCAGGCTCCTCATCTGGCTCCACAGGCACCACATCAGGGATCACGGGCACCTCATCTGACTCCACAGGCTCCACATCAGGAATGACTGGCTCCTCATCTGGCTCCATACCAGGGATGGCAGGCTCCTCATCTGGCTCCACAGGCACCACATCAGGGATGATGGGCTCCTCATCTGACTCCACAGGCACCACATCAGGGATGGCAGGCTCCTCATCTGACTCCACAGGCACCACAACATGGACGGCAGGCTCCTCATCTGGCTCCACAGGCTCCACACCAGGGACAGTAGGCTCCACACCAGGGCTCCTCATCTGGCTCCACAGGCACCACTCCAGGGATGGCGGGCTCCTCATCTGGCTCAACAGGCACCACTCCAGGGACGGCGGGCTCCTCATCTGGCTCCACACCAGGGATGGCAGGCTCCTCATCTGGCTCCACAGGCTCCACATCAGGGATGACGGGCTCCACATCTGACTCCACAGGCTCCACATCTGACTCCACAGGCTCCACATCAGGAATGACAGGCTCCTCATCTGGCTCCACACCAGGGACGGCAGGGTCGTCTTCTGGCTCCACAGGGATGAAGGGCTCCTCATCTGACTCCACAGGCTCCACATCAGGGATGGCAGGCTCCTCATCTGACTCCCCAGGCACCACAACATGGACAGCGGGCTCCTCATCTGGCTCCACAGGCTCCACACCAGGGACAGTAAGCTCCACACCAGGGATGGCGGGCTCCTCATCTGGCTCCACAGGCTCCACAACAGAGACCACAGGCTCCTCATCTGACTCCACAGGCTCCACAACAGGGATGGCAGGCTCCTCATCTGACTCCACAGGCACCACAACAGGGACGGCGGCTCCTCATCCACAGGCTCCACACCAGGGACGGCAGCCTCCACACCAGGGACAGTAGGCTCCACACCAGGGATGGCTGGCTCCTCATCTGGCTCCACAGGCACCACTCCAGGGACGGCGGGCTCCTCATCTGGCTCCACAGGCTCCACACCAGGGACAGTAGGCTCCACACCAGGGATGGCGGGCTCCTCATCTGGCTCCACAGGCACCACTCCAGGGACGGTGGGCTCCTCATCTGGCTCCACAGGCTCCACACCAGGGACGGCTGGCTCCACAGGCTCCACACCAGGGAAAGTAGGCACTGCAGCCAGCTCCACATCCTGTAAATGAAACGATGCTATTTTGAACTCTGTCTATAATAATATAAAAACAAATTTACATGTATTGAGATTTTATTCATTAAACACTTTTAAGGTGCAAAGACACAGATTTGAGTTAATATTTTCTGAAGAATTCTAAATATTAGTCGTTATATTATACAGAAAATTTTAGAAAATATTAGGGATTGCACTTTCTAACCGGTTAATCGATTAATCGGTCGGAATGATGCTAATCGGTTAGAAAATTCGTAATCGGTTAGTCAGAAAAAATAAAATTTATGTAAATTTGAGCGCAGTTTCCTTAAAATCCCTTATTTTTTTTTTTAGAAAGGAAAGCGCTGCATACATATTTTTTGGCGTTTTTACACATCTTATAATTAAGAATATTTGGATGAAATTATAGGTCTCCTTGATTGAGATGACAGGATAATTGTTCAATTGGTAAAGAGTTAATTACTGTTTTTATAACTTCATGCCATTACTCAGATCGTCAAGTTGTTTTTTTTAATGATATTAAAAACATCACCGTTAAGCACTTTCAATTATAGAATGTATTTATTTTGCCGTTATCTATTAAATTATATTATCATAAGGGCGTTGTAATTGTAAATTAAAAGAAAGTTCAGACATTGACTGCCGTATATACTGGCCTATAAGTCGGTCCGCCTATAAGTCGGTTGTAGTTAATAAGCTTATATTTTAGTTGGACTGACCTTATATAAAACCATTCTTTTTATAACGCGCCTATAAGTCGGACACATCGTTTTGAACCAGATTTTGACTCCCAAAAAACCGACTTATAGGCGAGTATATACGGTACATGTAGTTCTGATTATGGTGACAACGCAGAATTAACTTCTTGAATTCTACGTTGGAAAATTATTCCTGTCTGATTTCTCAAGCAAGATTCATGGTTAACTTAATTTTTAATTGTCTATTGAAATTGAAATAAAATAATCTCTTATGGACATAAAATTTCCTGATCAAAATAATAAACAGAATGTAACTTAATTCTTATATCTTTTTAGCCTTTTTGTTTATATGAAAAGAAAATGTCAGAATGTATAAATTATCTTGATACGACTAACCGGTTAATCGGTCGGAACGTTTTGCGGTTAACCGATAAGCAATTCTGAAATTGACTGCCATCCCTAGAAAATATTAACTTAAAATATCATTTCACAAAAAAATTTCATGAATACCGTATAACAGGTATTTTCTGCAGTTGTCCAAATTTTGCGGAATTTTGCGGATGGAACAAATCCACAAAAATTAAAATCGCAAAATATTTTAATATGATTCCAGGTATTTTATACATGCAAGTATAATAAGTGGTGCGTCTGCACACTCATGCATAAACGTGTCTTCATTAGAGAGAAAATTCGGCCGACATTGAAACTACGATAGCAGTTGGGCAGTTTTTCTTTCGATCTTATTTTCCACTTTTTAATCCTGTGAATTGTCTTGACACTGATTAAAATAATGCTTGTGTTTACAATATGGCTTGATTGTCTCGTGAATTTTATTCAAATCAGACGACTGACAGTATTAGTTACGCCTCAATGAATATGACGTGATTTTGGGGTTGGTTGATTATGCCAAGCTTTTTTGATAGCTTTAATTTTAAGTGCAAGGTATTTTAGATAATGGCTTGGAGACATTAATTATCATTAATTATTTAAATTATTTTTATTTTGGACTGTGATCTTAATCGGTTTAATTTTAATAGCGGTTACACCGATTGCACCTTTAAATAATGTGCCTAGATGATTTTACATAACTTAATAATAGCAGCGTTGTAAAAAATCTCAGAGTTTGATGATCCTATACTGTACCCCGTAAATAATTTTTTGCGGTAAAGTCCAACCCCAGAAATTGAAAACGCAAAAATAAATTTGCTACCTTTCAGGGGTTAGATCACAAAAATTTCCAACCGCAGAAAACACCTGTTATACGGTATTTTTCATTTGTAACTAATTGAAACTTAGTATTTCTTGATGGTTTTGATTGACACATCCTTGCACTTTCACAAATTATAATTTTTATTCTTAATACTTTAGAAAAGTGGCAATTTTGTTGTATACTTTAATGAATAATATTAAAACTATAATACAGAGAATTCAGTGTAGAAATGTTCAAAAGTAAGAGACCCTTCACCAATATTGTCATTCTATGCTCTGAGTGCTCTGTACACAGTCTAACAAATTGAATACTGTAAATCACTTTTTATTTGCGAGAACTTTATTTTCGCGCAATTACGCGAGACAGTGTGCTCGCGAAAATTTAATTCTCACGTATAATAGTATTCCTTAAAATATATAAAGCAATAACCACATTTCGCGAAAATTATGTCTCGCTTATCAAGAGTCAATGACTTTATTGCAAAAATAAGGTGTCGCGAAAAATTAGTGATCTACAGTACACCTGTGAAACGTAAACTTTTTTTGTACACAAGGCACGAGCTGTGTTACTGTTTACCTCCGTCTCCTCTCTCAGTAGCCGCAGCTCCTCCTCGGCCGCCCGCACGCTCTCATGTACCAAACGAAGCCTCTCCTCATCCCTACAATTTACAAGTCCAGGATCAAACTCTGTCATTGTTTTATTTCTCTTGTTGCTTGTGGGCAAATTTGAAATAAGGCAATTTGATTAAAAAAAGTTTCGCTGTGTATTTCTGTATACAGAGAAATTTTTGCCCCGTTCACCTATTCCTCACATATTGGTAAACATGTTTTAAAAATTATAAACAGTTTCAAAAGTGGAAGGGAAAAAAATGGATTACTCTACATTTCATATTTTAAGTTAAACATTTGAGCCAGATTTGAAAGGAGTTAAAGACAGCTAGATGGATGGATATGAACACCATAACATGATAACTGCCCAGTTCTCACACAGTTATATCATTTCTTGTATAAAGACAGGCATAGAATTATATGTACCTGATACTCATCTTAATTAACACAATTATGCTGAATTTCTATCAACTTTATTAAACCATTAACCTGGTCATTTCTTTGCTAAGAAACCTTGACTGGTACAATTAAACACACTAGAAGCATCTTCCATGCATGTCTTATCAATATAGGGCATGGAAGTACTTAATAAAAAGAAAACTGCTTCAATAAATTGAACCTTAACCTGGGATGCCGATGTTGACTATGACGCCAGAGGGTATCTCTTAAGCTCCCCCAACTTTGTTGAAGTGAGCTAAAAATTGATTATTGCTTCATATCTAAGTCATAAGTTATGAGCCGGTTATGATAAGAGTTAACAGAGAGACAGACAGATGGACATGAACACCATAACATTATCTGTCCAGTCTTAAGACATAATATTATTTCCTGTCTAAAGACAAAGGTACCTGACACTCGTCTATCTGCTAAAAATCATCAGACACAATTACACTGAATTTCAATGAACTTTCAAAATATCAATTTCTAAATCATATGTATATATTTAAGGAATTACTGTTTAGTTATTAGTATACTAGTATGCCAGAGCATCAACGATAGTGGGAAACATGAGATGGTGGGAAATACTAGTATGCCAGAGCATCAACGATAGTGGGAAACATGAGATGAGCCTGTTACCATGGTTACGCAGAAATTATCCCAAGTTTCACACTGTCGTTGACATCCTTGGCATTCTATACTAACTATATAGACAGTGAATCATAATATTTCCATTTTATTATGAAATCAAATTGTAGATTTATAGATTTTAAAATTTAGACAATTTTAGATTTAAATTTCTCCCATGTAAATTTCAATTAGTTCTTGTCCACTAGTGTCAAACAGAAAGACAGCCGCATGAGATTTACATGCATATGTGGCCTCCTTAGCGTCAGACACAAACACAGATGCGCACAGGATTTACGTGTGTATTAGGCCTCCTTAGCTCCTTACCAATCGATTTGCCTAATTTATATTACAGTAGAATTATCAAGAAATCAACTCTATTAACTAGGAGTTATCAAAGAGAAAACGAATAGAAATGGAAATATTCACAAATTGACAGCTAATTGAACACCAAACCTTTTTTCAAAAACATATCTCTTTAAAAGAAATTAAAAATCCAGTTTTCATTCAATCAACATGTGAACCTAATATTACAAAGCTTTTACTTACAGTCGTCCCTCTTCCATCAGTTCCTCAAAAAGCTGGTCCTCCTCAGAAGGGCTCCTCCTCCTCGAAGGAATACTGAAAAACAGATAACAGTACAACCTCATTATCTCACACACCAATATCTCAGATACAATGGATATGTCAAGGTGATGGAAGCTCCTCCTCCTTGCCCTATTCTATATAACAGTTTAACCTGGATTATCACACACCAATATTCAGATACATGGACCTATGTCAAGGTGATAAGGTTTGAATCAATTGAATAAGTATTTAAACGTTTGTTGGCTCAGGTGAGCTAAAAAGAGAGAGAGAGAGAGTGGGTTCCTTAAATCTAGATTAGAAAATAATACTGGTAAATGTGTGATTTGAAATCATTTATGATTTCAGGTAAAATGACTTTTAAACATAAAGTAGTACCGAAAATCTGGAAATTTGATAAATTTTATCATTATGGGACACACCAATATCTCAGTACAAAAAGTCTGTTCATTAATATTTTACAATATGTACTTCAAAATTTTGTGAATTGTCATCAGCTGTAAAATTAAAAAGCTCCTACATTTTCATGTCAGTTTATAAGTTATGCATGTACAATGCTAAATTCATGGATTTGTTGTTAGATAGAACAAATAGCAGGTTCTTTTTAACAGAGAAAGAATCCTAATAGAAGCATACTGCCTGCCATAACAATCCTAATAGAAGATTACTGCCTGTCATAACCATCAGACACATTTAAGGAAATACTGATAATTTCTCATGCGTTACCAGGGGTTTTGAACAGATATCAAATTATGAAAATTTTTGCATAACATTCAAAGAGAAATGAGAACCAGAAGTCTCTGTCGAGACTGTAGCTCTACTGGTTTATACTTAAAACAAAGGAAGAGAAAAGTAGCAGTTGGGACTTGAAACTTTAAAACAGCAATAAATAGAAAAATGATCCTTGCCACTCATCAAAATAAAAACCGATGCACAGAATTATGTATCTTAGTATAGTCTACTTGTGTGCCAAATTATATTGTAATCGGACCAAAACTGTAGGAGAAGCATTTTAAAAGAATTTCTCAGAAACTTCTATTTTTAGTTACCATGGCAACACCGTTCATTGAAATCAAAAATCGATGCACAGAATTATGTATCTTAGTGTAGTCAACTTGTGTGCCAAGTTATATTGAAATCGAATTAAAACTGTAGGAGGAGTAACATTTCGAAAGAATTTCACCGAAATTTCTATTTTTAGTAGCCAAGGCAACATCGTTCATCGAAATCAAAAACTAATGCATAGAATTATGTATCTTAGTGTAGTCAACTTGTGTGCCAAGTTATATTGAAAACTGTAGGAGGAGTAGCATTTCGAAAGGAATTTCACAGAAATCTCTATTTTAGTAGCCAAGGCAACACCGTTCATCGAAATCAAAAACCGATGCATAGAATTATGTATCTTAGTGTAAAAATCTACTTGTGTGCCAAATTTTATTGAAATCGGACCAAAACTGTAGGAGTAGCATTTGGAAGCATTTCACAGAAATTTTTATTTTTAGTAACCACGGCAACACCATTCATCGAAATCAAAAACTGATGCAAAGAATTATGTATCTTAGTATAGTCTACTTGTGTGCCAAATTATATTGAAATCGGACCAAAACTGTAGGAGGAGTAGCATTTTGAAAGAATTTCACAGAAATTTCTATTTTTAGTAACCACGGCAACACCATTCATCGAAATCAAAAACCAATGCACAGAATTATGTATCTTAGTGTAGTCTACTTGTGTGCCAAGTTATATTGAAATCGGACCAAAACTGTAGTAGGAGTAGCATTTTGAAAAATTGTTTACAGACAGACAGACGAACAGACAGACGGACGGACGACGGACACATTACTATCGCATAAGCTCTTCTGGTCTCTGACCAGTAGAGCTAAAAAAATTACAAACATAAATTCCAGATTTTTTTCCATTAAAATTTATTTAAAGAAGTGTACAGATCCATGAGGGGTGATCAAAAAGTTTGTTAACTTATTGAATAACCTTCATATAAGAAACAATATTTGGTTTCATTGTTGATTATATTTTAATTTAGATACATGAGATAATTTAGATAAGTCCTCTCTGATTTTAAAGCACATCTGCCACCTTACTGCTCATGCGTGAATCAAGTGATATAGGTGGTCACGTGAAAGGTGCTCCGTAGCGTTTTGTCACAAAAGCTGAATGATTTTTCATAGATTTATATTTCTTACCATGCAAGTTAATTTTTATAACAAGAACAGTTTACAGTATTTGTCACAATTCATGGACAAATCTCAGCAACAGAATGGGTGAATAAGAATCTAAGACTTTTTCCTAAATTGAGTGTGGCGACCATCAAAACCCAAATTCACTATATCGAGAGAGTGTTGTTAATATTTTTTAAGGTGAATGCATGAAAGTATGGGGGCCTCTTTTTTATCATATCTATATATAATAAGTTAAAAATTTTAAATAAACAATATCTTAGGTACATCTAATAATTATACTGTTGTTACTCATAGGATATTGAACTTTTTTAAAAGTGTAAATTGGAGGTCTTTCATAACAAATTGCTTAATTAAAAACACATCTTTTTCTTAATCTGCTTTTGCTGGGCAACAGAACATATATCATTTTTAACCATATCACTTCCTTTAATAAAAAGATCAATCCAATCATTGATTAAATTTCTAGAATTAGTCTTATGTCTAAATTAACTGTGTATTAATTTTTATACGCAACTGAAAAGGATTTTTTAAGATATACCATAAAATTTACAGCTATTCATTGAACGAATACGACTGACACAATCATTTTTTTGTAAAAAGTAATTGACGTTACTTTCACCTTGTGACTTCACAACTGAGGAGCAAGAATGATTTGAAGATAACTGGTACAGTATTCAATATCAAAGTCCATAAAACAAAAAATAGGAGCAGAGCAATCACGGACCTCCGAAACATCAGAGGTAGGATCAGGTGCCATGGAGGAGTGAGCATCCCCTGCCGACCGGTCACACCTGCCATGTGCTCCTTGTTGTGATTGGGAAATAATGGGAAAAATCCATTGTCAATTCAGTGTATAAATAATGGACTAACAATTGGTATGAAAAACTTCAGTCAGCATTTGACTTAATGATAAATTGTATTTGTTGACAAGGTCATTGTATCGACCATAGAACTTACAAAAGATGACTGTAAAATGAGTCTGATGATATTTTTGTTTAATAAATTAGCTTGTCAATAATTTACCTTGTTTAAGAAATTGTTCATACATAGAGCATGCTCTTCATATCGAATAAACTGAGATATCGGGGCTTGACATTATTTAGGCACGTCCGACCAACTGTGACAAGTAAAAGTTAGGTCTGGTCTAGTTTCAGAATATCACCTCAAGGTAGCCCGACTGGTCATGTAAAAATATCCCTAAGTACATTTCTGAACAGATGATTTTGTTTGTCTTATCAATTGTGTTAAAATCAGGTTTCACTTTCATGTTTGGATCCCGATAAAAATTATTCACGATTTAAAATATTCCTTAAAAGGAAAATGAAAGAAAACTCTACTTTTTACTGCATAAAAATAGTTTTTACTGATTTTGTTTTTTATCAATCGTGTAATTTTACATATAATTATCGATCGTTATCATGATTCTTACCCAATATTTTCGCTAAAAAGACTTAATCTACTTAATATAGGAGTTATCCTTCCTGCTAGGTCATGTTTACGGCATCTGTGGTGTATGATTTCAGGTCTTATATTTTGAATTCGATATGAATTAATTTAGAATTTAAATTTTTCTTCATGAAAGAAATAAATTAATTACTTTAAAACACGAGGCCCAGGAGCCACATTGCTCAAAGAAAAAGCATGAATCAGTCAAGATCAGAATTAAAAAAATTTACTGGGGGGGGGGGGGTTCAATTCTAATACTTCTTGAGAATGCCCATTATTGCCCCACCCTATCCCTCGGGTCATTATTTGAACAAACTTAAATCTCAAATACATGCACTTCCTGAGGATGCTTCCATATAAATATCACTTTGACTAATCATGGCTTTGCAGTACTTAAGAAGATTTTTAAAGATTTTTTTCTATATATTCCTATGTAAAACTTTGATTGGCCATTGTGGCCCCACCCTACCCCGGGGGTCATGATTTAAACAAATTTGAATGTAAACTACCTGCGGATGATTCATCTTTCCTGTCCCTAAGGATCTTTCAGAGAAAATTAAGATTTTTTTCCTATATATCCTTATGTATAAAACTCTGAACTGCCAGTGTGGCCCCACCCTACCCCAGGGTGTCTGAAGATTTGAACAAACATGAATGTACACAACCTAAGGATGATCCACATGAGTTTCATCTTTCCTGTCTAAATGGATCTTAAGAAGAAGATTTTCAAAGATTTTACATATATATTTAAATGTAAATCTTTGGTCGGCCATTGTGACCCCAACCTACCCACGGGGGGTGAGAATTTGAAGAAACTTGAATCTACACTATCTGAGGATGATTCAACATGAGTTTCATCTTTCCTGTCTCAATGGTTCTTGAGAAGAAGATTTTTAAATATTTTTCCTATATATTAGTATGTAAAACTTTGATAGGCAATTAATGTGGCCCCACCCTTTCCCCTAGGGGTCATAATTTGAACAAACTTAAATCTACACTACTTGAGGATGCTTCCACATGAGTTTCATCTTCTCTAGTCCAGTGGTTTTAGAGAAGAAGAAAATTCTTAAAAATGCCATTAATTAATTTTTCACTAATTCATAATTATTTTCCCTTGAAAGAGGGAGTGGCCCTTCATTTGAAGTAACTTGAATCCCCTTTTCCCAAGGATACCTTGTAGCAAGTTTGGTGGAAATTGGTCCAGCAGTTTATGAGAAGAAGATGAAAATGTGAAAAGTTTACAACAACAATGACAAACAACGATGACAACAACGAGAGACAATTAACAGAAAAATTTTGATACGAAAAGCTCACTTGAGCCTACGACTTTGTACGTATGTTGCATATGACCTGAAATTTAGTTTAGGCACTCATTAGACACAAATTATCTCTTTAGTTAGCTTGTAGACCTAGTATAAAATTAAGTTTAACTTTCTAATTAAAAAAGTGACCACCACTTTTGTTTACATTAATTTCTGCAGTCAATTTATTCTAAGAAAAATATTTTTGTTACTTCAATGAACTACAATGAAGTAAAAATATGACTTACCCAAGTGCATCCCTCCACATGAGGTCGATCAGGATCGTCCTATCCAGGTCATCCATGGAAGTGTCAGCCTCCATCAGCTCTGAAGAACAGCTGAAAGGAGAGTAAGAAAATTTATATAGAATGAACAGCTGAACGGGGAGTAAGAATGGAGAAATGAATGAATATTAAGTACAATAATTATGGTCCTAAAATTCATGTTCAACTTATGGCTTGAGGTCATATTTCATTGCTACCTTTTTTGAGGTCTTTTCCCTTTTTCATCACAGTAGGTTTACATTGTATAAAATGAAGATAACTAAATTTCAATTATTACCTGGTCTGTTATGACTGAATGCCTAAATATGACACCTGGCACAGCTAACCTGATATACAGAACAGCACTGTTGATCATTCACCATTTATAAGAGAGAGAGAGTTACACTGCGGAACTTCACTATTTTCGTGGGGGTTTATTTTCATTGTTTTTGAGACCCACAAATTCATGCCCACCACAAAATGTAAAATAAATTTTCATATATGCAAAACTATACTGAAAAGTTCTTCATCCACAAGATCAAATCCCCCATAAACCAAATTTTTTTCCATGAACTACAAAATTTGGCCCCACAAAAATATGTGATTTTTCAGTATCTTATCTCGACAATGATATATCTCATAAAGGGTACAATGATATATCTTGTAAAGGGTAAACTGATCACGAGTCAGGTGTCAATTTATATTCACCAACAATTAATTGACAACAGGGTACATTACAAGCATGAACTTAACAAGCAAATTCAAGGAATTGTGGTCCCACCGCTTTCGGTGTCTTTGTGGGTGAGATGTCATTTTTTATGACATATTGTGTGTAATATGAACACCTTATCATATGTCATCTAGTAATTAGAAATCATCACTGAACTCCAAGGTCAAGGGGACGTCTAAGTTCTTGGTATCTAACGAAAAGTATTTTCATAAGGATTACATATGTAAAGTATGAAAGCCCCAGCCCTTACCGTTCAAAAGTAATTGTCATGGTTAAAGTTTTTTTATAAGTACAGAAATCTCAAAGGTCAAAAAGTCAAAGTTGTTGGTATCCAATGAAAGATCTTTCAACAAAAAGTACGGATAAGAAGTTTAAAAGTCCCATGTTCAAAAGATATGGCAAAGGTAAAAGTTTTTGAAAAGTAGGTTGAATTCCAAGGTCAAGGTCAAAAGGTCAAAGTTGTTAATATCCAATAAAAGGTCTTGTCACAAAGAATATACATGTACATGTGTAATATGAAAGTCCTAATATCTACCATTTAGAAGTTATAGCCAAAGTAAAAGTTTGGAATTTTTGTGTAAAAATGGGTCAAACTCAAAGGTCAAATCAAATTTGGTGTTACCCAAAGAAATGTCTTATCACAAGGAATACTCATGTGAAATATGAAAGTCATAGTTCCACTAAATCAAAAGTTATGGGCAAGGTTAAAGTTTTTGTGACAGACTGACAGATGGAAGGACAGACAGACTGATGGACAGGGGAATGAGATTTAATGTTCCCTTACTTTCGCAAAAGCCGGGGACAAAAATGTATCCAAATGTTTACTTTGTTGTCTTCGAAAAGAAGTTTTTTAAACATTTGTCTTAATAATTTGTCTGACATATAATATATATTCCTATGTAAAACTTTGATCACAAACCATTCCCAGAAGGGTCATGATTTCAACAAACTTGAATCTACACAACCTTAGATTAGTTGTTCTAAAGTAGAATTTTAAAGATTTTTCCTATAGATAATCATTGGTATGTAAAATTTTATTTACATGTAGGTCTGATTATTTGAACAAACTAGAATTTACACTACCATAAAATGCTTTTATATAAATATGACCAAATATATTTATTTATTCTTGAGGAGAAGATTTTTAAAGACCCACATATTAAGTTTTTTTTTGTGTATGTTTTGAAAGATGTAATTTTCCACAAAGTTTTTTAATGTCTTCCCTTGGAAAAAGGTTTGACCCTTCATTTGTTCATACAGAAAACATGAATCCCAATGGATACTTAATTGTACCAAGTTTGGTTGAAAATGGCCTAGTATGAGGGTCTTGAGAATTTTAACATGTAAATTAAAAGTTTACAGACAGACAGACGGACAACTGGAGAGATGCCGGACAAAATGTGATCAGAAAAGCTGTCAGGCTCAGACTCTTGTGAGCTTATGTGAAAATAAAAGTAAACTTCTTTTCAAACTTGTTCGTTTTTTTCTTTGGGGGGGGGGGGGGGGGTTGCCACCAATCTCCCCTACAGACACCCCACCCATGGCCCCACCCACTCCAAGATACCCGCAAGAACCTTATGATGATATACAAATGTATATATGAGTTCATTATGCTACCTACATCGTAATTTAATAAATGTTTACAAGGCATGCATTGGTTCTGTGACTTGACCATGTTGTTTCACTTTGCTAAAAATGGAGAATTATTCAAGCATTTAGAACTGTTTTTTACAAGGCCGTTACTAAGCTCGAATATTTAGTGAGGCAAGTGTACTGGGCATTCCTAGTCCCAGAAAAATAAGGGTAGTAAAAAATCTGATGACAAGTAATGGGGGTTTTCAGTTTTTGGGGGTCCTATAATCCTAGGTAAGAAAATAAAAGATTTAATGGTAAAAAAAGTTTTTACGTTTTGAATTGTCAAATGCCTGCATGTGCGCACTGGTTAGAGATATATGTGTGAAGTAGCAGAAGCCTTTCTTAAATTGATCCTTAGATCACAGGTTCGAATCCTACTGCGGGATGTAGAAACCGGTCCTTATGAGACATGTAAAAACTGAGATCCTATGTCATAGTTAAGTACTGGCACAAAAAAAATCTCTTATGTTCATTCTTACAGTGATTTGAAAGCCCATTACAGATTTGGACAGCTCCAGCCCTCCATTGGAAACCCCACATCAATATGAGAATTTTTAGAAAGGGTGTAAAATAATCGAACAATTTACAAATATTTTGAATTACGTACAAATGAAAATAAGGCACTGTTGAGATGAACAATTTAAAAAAAATGGAAATAAATGTTGAAAATATTTATATTTAGCACAAAGTAAGACACTCATTAGTACAATTTAAAACTTTTTCACTTTTATGAGAAAACTTAAAAATTTTTTGAGGCATTTGCCTCACTTGCCTCAATGGTAGTTACGGCCTTGTTTTACCTCAGTCCTCTCGTCGGCTGCCGTACAAAACTGTCGTCCGTGCAATCTATCCTCGTAGATAACACGAAAAATCCAGGAAATAATCTGTGTAGAAGCTCTCTGTAAATCGCAGTATAATCTCGCCAAAGTCAAATATCAAGTGAATGAGTACCAGTTCACGTGGACGAAACCTGCGTAAAAGCCTGCTGTGGTCACTGGTGCGTGAAATGTGTGAATAGCAGGGTAACTTGTAAAGACTTGGTGGAAGCTTTTCATGAATTTCTCATCTTAGGGCAGTGGGGAAAAAGTCAAAATACAGCTATGCACTCACATGGTTTTTCTCGGTATTTGCATATTATTGACATCATACATAACATTTTACATGTCTTAGAGAGCACAAGTACTTGTGGACAGGACCCCCCCCCCCCCCCCCCCACTTTTTAACCCCGGGGCTTATTGAGATTTTTTTCACAAATTATATATTTATTACACATTTTCATCATGTTTACAATGGAAAAAGTGTTTTAAAAAAACAATTGCTCCACAAAAAAAAAAAAGTGTGTTAAACCCCAAGTCTAGGTCATTATGTCTTTCATGGTACCTCAATCTAAAAAGGTTTTGTTAAAAGGATATCGTTACATATGAAAGCCATAGCCTCGCCCATTCAAAAGTTATGCATTGTTATGAGCAAGGTTAAGGTTAAAGTTTTTACGGACAAATTAACTAGTCGTGACAAATCCTTTTGACATCCGACGTACGGCAATCACCGACAAAAAAGGATAGTCCGACCCCTTGCTGTAATTTTCACCAAAATTGAAAATTTGTTATATTTATTTTCATTATCAACAATGACCTTAGAGCCACAAGAAAAATAGTACGAAGTATGAATTAAGCGCTGAAATCTTATTTTTTTCAGAAATGATTTTTATGTCAGAAAAAAGTAAGAATTTCAACACAGCAGGGACGTTGTATTCCCCCCCCCCCAAGTACCCTTGTAGTTTTTTCCCAACCGTACTTACACTATAGGAATTCGAATTGAAAGCCATTATGAATAGGGTACCCCCCCACTTTGAGAAATGTACCGAAAATGTAGTATAAGAATTGGTACAAAAGTAGTTGACGCTGAGAAAAAGTTTAACCACCCCCCACCCCCACCCCCCACCCCCAAGAAATAGGATATATTTGGGCAATTTTTACTTTTTATATATATACTTTTTTGCTTGTCAACATTTCAGGTAGGTAAAAAAAAATTCTTTCTCTTTCAAAAACGATGCTAAGCCTCTTCACAGTGAACGGAATTTAAAAAGTGACGATTTATTATCACAACATAAAATTTGAGATATGAGGTTATATGAAAATAATATATATATATATACCTATTAAAATCATGCTATAATAGAAATTACCTAGCTGCAGTCATCTGTATTTTCGAAATCATATATGACATATATTGACTGACCAGAGCATATTTGCAGCTGCCGCCCATATGTAAAAAATGGATATTTATTGCGCACAAAAGCGCACTGTTCCCCCCATAAATTAATTCTTCCAAATTCTTACCTTTAATTGCAAAAAAAAAAGACTTTAAAAGATTCCTTACTCCTCTATCAAGTACTCTTGTAGTTTACATCATAGACCTAAATTTATATCTAATGAAAATTTACAGATCAAAAAGTTTGAATAAAGATAGTTGGTAAACTTGAAAAAAGTTAGCCACTAACCAAAATCCCCCCGCCCCCCCCCCCCCCCACGAAATAGGATTTTCGACTTCGGGCAACTTTTAATTTATATGGTCTTTTTTTACTTTTATACTTATATACTTTTTCAGGTAAGTAAAAAAATTTTCTCTTGGCCCCCCCACTTCCAAAAACGATGCTACGCGCCTGATATATATATATATATATATATATATATATATATATATATATATA